CCTCCTCGTCCTCCTCCCCCTTCTCCTCCTCCTCCTCCTCGCCCTCCTCCTTCCTTCCTCCCTTCCCTTTCTTCCGTCCTTCCTTCCTTCTTTCCTTCCATCCTTCTCCTCCTCCTCCGCCTCCTCCTTCTCCTCCTGCTCCTCCTCCTGTTCCTCCTTTCTCCTCCTCCTCCTCTTCCTCCTCCTGCTCCAGAGGACCCTTGAGGCCGAGAGCGGCCAGGGAAGATGTTTCTCCTCGGCCCCCGCCTCCCCAAGACATCTAGCGGTCCGAGCTGTTCGATGCCTACTTCCCTGGACCTCTCGACCCCTCCCCAGCAATCGGGTGCGCCGACCAGGGGAGACAAGACGATGGAGGTTGGCGCATCATGACTCGAAGCATGGGCGCGGAGGCAAGGAGGCCAGGGAGCATACTGCGTAAAGAAAAGGGGGCGTGACTCTGTGAGACGTACGCCTCCGGTCATATATCCATACGCACGGCACGTTGTATATGTATATATACATATGTGTGTGTTAGGATATATGTATGCATAGATATGTAAATATATGGCTATGGAAATGGATATATGTATGTATGCATCTATACGTGCATATGTATAGGTGTGTGGATGTGCATATGTTCATGTATATGTTTATGCAAATGGCTATGTAAATGTAAATGTATATGTGTACGCTTGTGCAACTGCCAATACAAGTGTATAGTATAGGGGTATGCATGTATTTATGTATGTGTACATGTGTATGTATATGTATGTGAGGTTGCATATGTACGTGCATGGTTATGTATATGCATATATGTGTGTGCATATGAATGTTTATGTATATGTGTATGTGATTGAATGTGTGTATGGATATGTACGAGTATACTGTTGTGAGAATGTGTGTATATATACGTACATATCTATATATATATATATATATGAGAGAGAGCGTGATCCACCGCCGCTTTACTATGGAAAACTCCCAACCTTTTCCTCCTGAACCCGGGGGTCGCCCCCCCCCCCACTCCGAAAATCCCCCCCCCTGCCCCCCCCCTCTCCCCCGGCAAAACCCCCCCTTCCCCTACCCCCTCCCCCCCCCCCTCCCCCTCGAAAACCGAGGGGGGGTCACTACCGGTTCGAACCCCTCCCCCCCCCCCCCTCCGGATCCGGAAAACCGGGGGGGGTCACTACCGGTTCGAACCCCCCCCCCCCCTCGAAAACCGGAGGGGGATCACTACCGGTTCGAACCCCTCCCCACCCCCCCACTCACCGCCAGCAAACGACTCCCGGTCCCTACCACCGTCCGCATCACATCCTCCACTGTTGTTCCCAGCACCACTGTCCTCACCACCACTGTCCCCACTGTGTCCCCACCAGTGCCCCCACCACTGTCGCACTGTCCCCACTGTCCCCACCACTGTTCCCACCACGGTTCCACTCTCCCCACTGTCTCCACGGCCCCAACCACTGCCCGACTATCCCCACTGTCCCCACTGTCCCACTGACTCCTCCGCTGTCCCACTGAGCTGTCCCACTGTTCCCACCACTGTCCCCACTGTCCCCACCACTGTCCCCACTGTACCTCTGTCCCATTGTCCCACCGCCGTCCTCGCCACCGCCTTCACCACTGTCCCCACCACCATTGTACCCTCCACTGTCCCACTGTTTCCACCTCATTCCCACTGTGCCCACACCACTGTCCCCACCACCACCGTCCCCACCACTGTCCACTGTCCCCCCTGTTCCCACCATTGTCCCCACCACTGTCCCCACCACTACCGGCCCTCTACTGCCCCACTGTCCCACTGTCCCCACCACTGTCCCGCTGTCCCCTCACCACTGTCCCACCAACACCGTCCCCACCTCTGTCCGCACCCCCACTCGGTTTTCGAGGGGGGGGGGGGTCGAACCGGTAGTGACCCTCCCCCTTTTCATGATGAGCTGGGGGGGGGGGGGAGGGGTTCGAACCGGTAGTGACCCCCCCGGTTTTCCGGAGGGGGGGGGGGGAGGGGTTCGAACCAGTAGTGACCCCCCCCCGTTTTCCGCCAACAGCGGTAGAACACGCTCTTTCATATATATATATATATATATATATACTGTATATGCATATGCATGTGTGCACGTATATGTACATGTACATGTATATGCGTTTGCATACTGTTGTGTGCGCATGTGTACGTGCATGTGTGTCAATGTGTGTAAATGTATATGTATGTATATGTGTGCACATGTATATGTAAGTGCATGCAGTTGTACAAAGGTATGAATAATGAATACACGCATCGGAAGTATAAACATACAGACATACATACATATAGACGTACAGACATACAGGCATGCAGGCTTACAAGCAAAATGACGTACAGACATACAGGCATGATGATATACAGACATACGGCCACGCAGTGAGCTGACGAGGGTTGGGCGACGGCTATAGATAAGATTATAATCCGAAGACGCTACGGGATGACGTAGTAAACAGCCCTTCCCTGAGCACAGAGGTCTCCAGGAGGACGAAAAGGAGGACGAGGGGGGGCGGCCTGGAGGTCGAGAAAGGGAAGAAGAGTCCAGAAGCATGACGGCGACGAAGACGACGGCAGAACGGCAAGGAGGGACAGGCGCAGAAGGAGAAGCAGCGCCTCTGAAGACGAAAAGAAAAAGGAGGACAGAGAGGAGGGGCCAAGGTGCCTCTCGTCCACTCGTGCACCTCCGAATGGCCTGCGGCCCATCCTGCCACCGTGCCCGGGATGTTGGTCAGAAACCTCTTGGATGCCTGTTGGCGTCTTTCGGGAAGCCTCTGGGCAACTGCCCCCTTGGGGGCAGTCTGGGGGTTTCTTGGGGCCTCTCTTGGGTCGCTTTGGAGCCTTCGGGTCCTCTCGGGGGGTTCTTGGGGGCCTGCGGACGGTCTCAGGGGTCCGATCCGGTTTAAGGGCTTGACGTATTTTCAAACCTTGACGTATGAAAACTGAAAGGAACAGCCACCGTGCGTGCCCCTCGTCCACGTGTGCCATCCTGGTCGACTTCTGCCCATCCTGCCACCATGCCTGGGTTGTTGGCGTGGGGCCTCTTGGACGTCTGTTCGGGTCCCTTGGGAAGCCTCTGGGCAGCCTCGCGGAGGTAGTTTTGACGCCCCCTGGGGGCTCCCTTGGGGCTGTTGGGGGCCTCTCGGGTCACCTAAGGGAAATTTGTGGGGGCCTGCTGGTGGTCTTCGGGGTCTTCTTGGGGTGGAGCACGTCGGGGCACGGGTACGCTGCGATCGCCACAGTATGCGCGCGAGCACCAACATGTGGGGTGGGGGTCCAGGCCCTGCTCCCCTACATACGATCGCCACCGGCTCCCAAGGAGGGGGGGGGCCTGGTCAACGCCCGTCACGCGCCAGAGGATGAAAACAACAAACAAACAAAAAACTCAGACCTGGCACGCCTGGATCACAGTGTCACAGGGCCCCGATTCGGGGCCCCAAAACCGTGTGGTGGCGGATCGCGTGGTGACCTCGGAATCCCCGACGACCTGACCGCGCGGTCTGTCACTTCGCTGACTTGGGACCTCGGAGGCCCCAGTCGCCAGGGACTTCCTCGGAGAACAGCCCGAGTCCCAAAACCGTGCGGTGAACCCGAACGAACCCCCGCCGTTTGGGGGCACCCGCGCCAACGGCGCCCGGTAACTGGCGCGTCACGGTCGTCACCCGTGCCAACCCCCCTGAGCGGCCCTCAACGGTAACGATCGTACGAGGGCGTACGAGGGGGTGGGGGGGCTGCACCCCCCCTCCACATGCTGGTGCTCGCGCGCACACTGTGGCGACCGCAGCGCGCCCCGGCCCCGACGTGCCCCGCCCAGCCCCAGCCAGAGGCCTCCCAGGTGGGGTCCGAGCAGATGGGGTCGGAGGATCGCGCCGCATCGCCGATGCAGCGGCGACGTCGGCGATGCATCGGCGCCATCGGCGTGAAGAAAATCGGGCTCAACATCGAGCCGCATCGGCGATGCATCGGCGATGTGGCGCGATCCTCCGACCCCGTCTACTCCAAGACCCATCTTGGAGGCCTAGCCAAGCGCTACTGTCACGCGAGGCCCCAAGCCCCCCCCCAAAGCCCGACCGCGCGGCGTGGCCACCGCATCGCCTGCGGGTCCCCGACCCGAGCCGGCTGCAGCAGCTGCCCCCCGAGGCCAGCGGGCGGGGGCGGCGCGGAGGGCGGCCCCGCCTGGCATCATCCCTGGCACCATGCCTGGCATCATGCCTCGGAGAGCGAGGGCGCAGGAGGAGGGAGGAGGGAGGGGGAGGAGGAGGAGGAGGAGGAGGAGGAGGAGGAGGAGGAGGAGGAGGAGGATTAGGCGGCGGCGGCGGCGGAGGAAGGGCGAGGGCTCCAGCTGGATAAGCAGACAAGTCTGTGGCTCCGAGCTGCGAGGAGGAGGGGTAGGGGGAGGGGGAGTCTGTACCTCCCTCACTCTTGTTGTAGTTTACGTTCTTACCGTCTTTTTTATTCATGATGATGGGTATGGTCGTGTTCCCCCTCCTCCCTCACAGGCTGCTTGCTTAGTTACTCTATGCCCTTCTGGGCGCCTGGTCTTTTTCAATGTCGTTGTGCCCTGCTGCATGCCCGCGCTTACTTGCAGTCTAACGTGTTGGCCACTGCGCCTAAATTGGTTTCGTTCCACGCCGTGTTCCCTACCACCTGGATCCTATTGCCCCCAGTCGATCTAAGTTTGCCGAATTAACATCGAGGAGGAGGAGGAGGAGGGGGCGGAGGAGGAGGGGGCGGGGGAGGAGTAGGAGGCTGAGTACCTTGCAGTGTCGTGTGTTTTGGTCTGACTTGGCCGCAGGAGTCGTGTCCCCAGGGGCGGGCGCCCAAGGAGCCGCTCCGCACATGCCGGCGTGAGGCTGGCGGTGCGGAGGGCGGAGGTCCTGGGCCTCGTCGCTCGTTCTCGCGCCCCTCCCGCTTCTGCTTCCCCCTGTTCCCCTGTCGCCCTCCCTGTTCCCGCTGCGTGTGAGTGCTGGTGGGATCTTTCGAGGATCTGCGTGCCCAGGAAAAGGATGGAAAAAGGAGAGGAGGGGGGAGACAGAAAGAGAGAATCGCACAGGCACTGCCTGTAGAGGCGCCTCATACAAGGGGTCCAAGAAGATGGGGTCGGAGGGTCGCGCCGCATCGCCGATGCATCCCCGATGCATCGGCGACGTCGGCGATGCATCGGCGATGCATCGGCGATGCGTCGGCGATGCGGCGCGATCCTCCGATCCCATGTGCCAGGACCCCACCTGGGAGGCCTGGAGCGTGAGGCTCGAACCGAGCTCGGACTGGAGCTGGGCAGATCGCAGGCCAGCCTCGGACCGCAGAAGCAGAACGCCAGGCCGGAGCCGGCAGCGCCGGGGGCACGATCCTCTTGGGCGAAGACTGCCCCAGCCCTCGCGGTGTGGCTGTAGCCCGCAGGTGTCTGGGAACCGCCCGAAACGAGCGCCCGGCTCCTGCTGGTTCAACAAAAACCTCTTATTCGAAGATGTGGGCGGCGGCGCGGGCCGGCGGCCTCGCGACCGTCGAGCCGGGCCAGCTGCCTCCCAGCAGCCGTGAAGCTCGCCAGCTCAGCTGCTGCCGGCGAGCTCCTGGATGTACGTGATGTCGTCCCACGGGTGGCGGTACAGCGGCTGCTTCAAGCGCAGCTGGTCCAAGTAGTGACCGATAAAGCCGATGGAGCGGCCAAGCACGAACAGTCCATTCAGGCAGCCGAAGCTCATCAGCTCGTCGCACTCCTCCCTCGAGAAGGCGCCACAAGACCTGATCATGTCTACGAAAGAGACGGCAATGCAGCCGTCGACGTTCAGGATGAGGTTGGCGCGCTTCCGCGTCGTGATCTGCTCCACCGCCAGCGCGAAGTCCAAGATCGGGGTCGACTTGAAATGCTTTTTCGCGTACTCCTTGATCAGGACCACGCGCATGTCCGGGTTGGCCAGGGACTTGATGCGGTGCCCGATGCCCATGACGAGCTGGTTGTTCTTCTTGCACCTGTCGATGAAGTCCTTCGGGGTGACGCCGCTGTCGTAGGCATCGCTGAACATCTTCGCGGCGTCGTCAAGCGCCCCGCCAAAGCGTGGGCCGATGGTGAGCAGGCCGCTGCAGAGAGCCGACACCAGGTCCTTGCCCGCGCGCGCGGTCACGATGGTGTTGTGCGCGCCGCTGACGGCGGGGCCGTGGTCGCCGGTGACCATGAGGATCCGCCGACCACCAAGTATCTACGGCGCGTGGCACTGCTGCCCCTCCCCACACCCCTCCCCCAGGAGCTCCGTCCGGCCGGTTCGGAGACGGGGGGGGCTCAGAAGTGCCGGTGGTGCTGACAGCCCCGGCCGCCCCAGACCTGCTCCCAGAAGAGCAACACATGAATCGACTTCGAGAAGACACGTATGGTCTCGGCATCCGCGGGCTCTGGGGGGCCGGCGGTGTGGCGTAGGCCAGTAGATCCGCCTGCCCCCTTGTGGGGCCACCAGGCTGTAGGGCGAAGGTTCGCAGTTTCCTGTGCCAGTTGCAGCTTCCAGTTTCCACTGCAAAATTTCTGCTTCTTGCTGCTTACTGTTCCTGGTTGATGGACCGCGCGAGGGGGGAGGCCCAAAACGGGCACTTTTACCACGCCCTGAGCGTGTGCTCTCTTGCTGGGAGCGGGGCGTAGCGGAGCGGAGCGGCCAATAATCCGTCCGGCGGGACGGCTCCGTAGTGGGCTTCGCGCACGGAGAGGCCGTACATGTGCGCGGTACTGTGAGACCGTGGACACACGCACAAAGGAAGAGAGGGACGCACGACAAGCGAGGCCGGGAGGCGGAGGAAAAGGAGAGGGAGGGACGAACGACGAGAAGGGCGACGGCGGGCACGCGAGCGAAAAGGCTCACGCAGATCGGCGGGGTCAGAGTCCAAAAACACATGGGATTTGCTACATTTCTGAAATTCGGTAGCACCCCTCACCCACATCGGCGGGATCAGGGTCCAAAAACACATGAGATTGGCCACATTTCTCATATTTGCTGGCACCCCTCACGCAGATCGGCGGGGTCAGGGTCCAAAAACACATGGGATTGGCCACATTTCTTACATTCGGTGGCACCCCTCACGCAGATCGGCGGGGGCAGGGTGCAAAAACACAAAGGATTTGCTACATTCCTAAAAGAAATCGGTGGCACCCCTCTCGCAGATCGGCGGGGTCAGGGTCCAAAAACACATGGGATTGGCCACATTTCTTACATTCGGTGGCACCCCTCACGCAGATCCGTAGGGTCAGGGTGCAAAAAAACAAAGAATTTGCCACATTTCTGAAATTCGGTGGCACCCGTGACGCAGATCCGTAGGGTCAGGGTCGAAAAACAAACAGGTCCAGACACTGCTTCACGGCGGCGCCCAGACCTCATGACTTAGCTTTTGCATCTCCCATTATCCGAGACAGGAGGCCGGCGGCATGGCGCGAAGCCCTTACGGATCATCTCGATGAACTTGGTGCACGCCGGGGGCAGCTGGCGGCGAAACCACAGCAGCGACAGAACCCCGCCGATGCCCAGCTCCTGGGCGAAGACCTCGGTGATCGTCACGCCGCAGTACTTCAGTTCCTCGCCGCGGTCGTCCGCAATGGAGGAGATGAAGTTGGCCGGCTTGCGCACCATGCCCAGCTTCTTGGCCCACGTGTAGTCCATGGGCACCTGGGGGGTCTCGCCCTCAGGCGTCTCCACGATCACGCCCTGCAGCACAAGGTCTGTGTACACCTGAAGGACGATCAGAAGCGGGTCTTAAGCGAGGAGGCATGGCGACCTTGTGCCGCGTCTTGCGCGGGCAGCCAGCGCGGCACGCTACATTGGAAACGAGGGCGCTTACGCGCGGCCTTACGATGGAAGGTGACCCGCGAATGCTGGCGCAATCGACCCCGTTTTCCTCCGCCGCCCTCCTGGGAGATCAGCTCCGGCAGCTTGTCGAAGGAATCGGGTACGCAGATGCCCGCCTCCCTCATGGCCCGGTTCTTGGCGGCCGCCGTCTGTGTGTCGCCGCGGGCCTGGGCGCCAGCGTGGCCGAACTGCACCTCGGTTGCGAAGCAGGATGCGCACGTGCCTCGGGCAGGTGGTAATGGGAGGTGACCTAGGTGACGGGTAAAGGGCCCCTTCGGGGCCCTTTCCCCACCACCCATTTAGGTCACCCCCCATTGCCACCCGCCCGAGTGCCCACGCACCAGGCGATGACCGGCTTGGTGATGCGGCCGCTCTTGACCGCATCGATGAGGTCGTACTCGTCGATGCCGCCAACCTCGCCGAGGAGCAGGAGCGCCTTCGCGCCGGGGTCGTCCTGGTAGCGCAGGAAGTGGTCCAGGAAGCGGCTGCCCGGGTACCTGTCGCCGCCGATGGCGACGCCCTCGTACACGCCGTCGGTGCAGCGGCAGATCATGTTGTTGAGCTCGTTAGACATGCCTCCCGACTTAGAGACGTAAGCGATGGAGCCCGCGCGGTACAGACGCGACATGACAATGTTATCCAGCATGCCACCCGTGTTGCCGATGCGCAAGCAGCCAGGCTTGATACCGCCAACCGTGGCAGGGCCGATCATGCCGATGCCCTTGGCCTCGGCCGCCTTGATGAGCAAGAGGCTCTGCTGCTCCGGCACACCCTCGGCGATGATGGCAACAGTCTTGACGCTTGGGTACTCCATCGCCTCCATGGACGTCTCATAGACCGAGCGGAAGGACGCAAAATTGACGAAGACAGAGACGGCTGGGTGCTTCTCGCAAGCCTCCTTTGTTGTCGTGTACACGGGCATCAATATTTCCTCGGTGCCCCAGTAGAATTTCACGTAGTGGTTTCCGGAGAAGGGGAAAACCATTGCGGAGACAGAGGGCTTCTTACGCTTACACATGTAATCGAAGTCAAGCATGCCCTGGACTGCTCGGTTCTGCATGCCGTATACGATGCAGGTTGTGTCGGCTGTAGCTGTGACAATGGTGTGCTTCGACGCAGGTGGCGCTGGCTTCTGTGTGTTGGACTTCTTGTCCTTCATATCAACCATCTTGCGCACAGGAGGGCCGCATGACGCGCTCAGATCGGGCTCTTCCTGCACCGGCGCGAGTCCGAGCGCCATGGGGATGATGGCCGTGATGTGCGTCTCTGGGCCGTAGACCCTGATGCCGAGGCCGAGCTTCTCGCTGGCCACCTTGACCTTGCGCAGTCCCTCCACGTAGTTCGGACCAGCACGGCGGATCCAAATCTGGATGTTGTGTTCCTTGATGTCATCCGCGTAGTGCTGCAACGCCTGTATGAGACCTGTGAAGGTGGCCGCGACGTCAGTGAAGTTGGCGATGCCGCCGCCGATGATCAAGATCTTGCCCTCAGGATGCTTGTACTTCAACATCAGCGAAAACAATGTCTTCGCATACACAAAGGTCTCTTGGGTCGACGGGGCGCCAGAGTACTCACCGTAATTCGCGAGTTCGCTCCCCATGCCATAATCTGCTACTGTGTCGGCGTACACCACGGACGCACTGCCACCCGCCACCATCGTCCAGACGCGGCCCTTCTCGTTCAGGATGGTCAGCTTCAAGAGGCACCCGTCTTGCCGTCCATGTCGCGAATGAGCGCCTCCTCGGCGTAGGCGGCGCGGCCGAAAGGTGGCGGCCAATCAACCTCCCCCCACTTCTGCGCCACCAAGAAATTGGCAGTCTCATCTATCTTCGCGGCCATGTCCAAAGGCACCACTGTGTTGTCTTCCAACATCACCAGAGGATTGGTTTCTAAATACGCGAAGTGCAAGTCCTTGTAGAATATGTAGAGACTCAAAATGAAAGACGTCAAGCTGGCTTGTTTCGAAGCAAGCACCTTCGACAGTAGACTGGCGGTGACCTTCTTGTCGTCGATTCCCTCCCCGATCGGTATCTGGAGATGCTCGGCCTTCGAGTCTACGTCCCCGACGTCAACACCTCCCTCGTGGTAGAATAGGATTTCGTCGTAGTAACGCACAGTGTGGATACATATGTAGAACTCCTCATCCTGTTTGTGGGGCACCATTGGCTCGATTAGGAAGTGGTTCAGCTGACCTGTTACAGTCTCCACCTTTTGTTCTGTGCACATCCTCTCCATGACCCACTTCTTAGCCTCGTCAAAGGTCTTGTTGAGTGCGATGAGGCCAGCCTTGCCACGGCGCTTGATCAGTTGGTCAGGCTTGGCCACGAGCTTGGAAGTCATCAGCCAGGGGTTCTTCTCCACAATCGATTCCCAAGTGTCCCCGCTGGTCGGATCAAGCACCGACGGTGTGATGAGCACTCCCGCTGTGCCCATTTTGTGTCTGCCATTGGAGATCTCGGGGAGCCACTTTTCCAGCAAGGCTTTACCCGTGTGCTCGCGGATGCACTTCACGGACATGACGGGCTGTACCGCCCTGGTAACGCAGACTGACGGGCTAACGGGAGCAGGGAGCACCTGAGCAATCTGCGGCACCTTGACTTCAAACAGCTTGAGCCAAAACGGCTAAGGCTAAAGAGGAGGACGGGGGCAGAGGAAGAGGTGAGGGGGAGGGTGAGGAGGGAGTGGAGGAGGAGGAAGGCTGGCCTCAACAATCGGCAAGATGAATCAACCAGCATCGACTGGGTAGGTCGGATCGGATCGGATCGCGCGCCGGACCGGTCCACATCGGCACGGACTCGAAAGAGTATCACTGTTGCTCGTTGGCTGCGATCCTGAACGACTCGACGCGCGTGCGAACGTTGAACTTCTATACGCGTCTGTGCAAAAATCATCCTACCAGCCCTCGGGGCGCAGGTGGTTTAGAAATCCGCCGACCCTGTCGGCGTGTGCGAGGGGCTTGGCTGTTCGAATCGTCGTCTCCGTCGGTCGTCGCCTCCGTCGTCCCGTTTCCCTGCAGCTTCCTTCTCAAGCTCGTGAGCGAGAGAAAAATCTAGCAGTGTCGTAATCGAGTCGAAGGGAAGCCCCTTCCCTTTGATCCCTTCCCCAGGGGGGGTGGGGGGTCCCCGGGGGGGTCCCGGTCCCGGGGGGGGTCCCGGGAGGGTCCTGAGGGGTGGTCCCGGGGGGGTGGGGGGGCAGATTCGTTTTTCCTCGGGCGGCCTAGAAACCTCGAAAACACTCCAAATGAGGTCCGAATGCCCAAGATGGCCCCCGAGACGGCCCAAGAGGGCCCCGAGTAGCCCAAAGATCGGCCGAAAACGCCGAAGATAGCCCCAAGACCGTCCAAGAAGCCTCCAAGACGTCCCAGGCCCCCTCCAAGAGACCCCCAAGAAGCCCAAAGAGGCCCCCACGAGGCTTCCAAGCGGCCCCTCAGAGCTTCCCAAGAGGCCAACAAACTACTCCTAAGAGGCCCCCAAGAGCGCTCGTCGTCGTCGTCGTCGTCGTCGCCATTAAGGGTCGGCGGCACCGGCCGTAAGGCCTTCGCAATAATCCTACCAGCCCTCGGGGCGCAGGTGGTTTAGATAGTTTTCCCTCCGAACCCCCTTCATCCCCTCCGCGGAGCGAAGTACCCTTGCTCCCTATTCATAAGCCCCCCCTTCCCCACTCGACCAGCCGCCAACCAGGAACCGTGAGGCGAAACACCCCCAACCACCCCTGGCAAAAATCAGCACAAAGCGCACGCGGCGGCAAAATCTGGAAAATGGTTGGGCACTCACTATCCGCATCGAAAGCAAGTGTAAACTGGATTGCCATGCTGACCGGCACGCCATCACTTCGCACGGGTTTTTGACAGGGACGGTGGACAGAATGCCCACAGTGTGATGCCACGGGCACTGGCGCACTTTTGTCGCCGCCTGGCACACTCCGCGCACCCGGCGCTGCTGAAGCACGTGGCGCACCCGGAGAGCGTGGCGCATCTGCCGCACCAGGCGCCTGGCACGCTGGGGCCCCTGGGTCGCTTTGTGCACCTGGCACGCCTGGGTTTCTGGATCACCCAGCGCACCCCGTGCGCGTGGCGCACCCACGGCACGTGCGGCGCAGCTCGCCAGCGTCGCGCACTTTGCGTCTGCATTGGTTCCCGATGGCGACCTCTGCCTATGCTGAGCGGTTGTGACACTTGTATGTTGAGAGAGCGAACAAGAATGAGCGAGACAGCTTGCGGCGTACCCCTTGGGAACTTGACCCCTCCCCGTAGCCCCGTCTTCTGGATCTGGACGGGGGGGAGGCTGGTTCCAAGATGACCCCAGATGGCCCAAGACGATCTCCAAGATGGCACAAGACAGCCTGATATTGTTCAAGGTGGTTTCCAGGATGCCTCCTGGAAGCCCCAAGCCCGCTCCAAGACCGCTCCAAGACAGCTCCGAATGGCCACCGAGCCTCTCAAGGAGACCCCCGAGAGGCCAACGTCTTTCAAAATCCGACGGTGCTTCAATGTGCTGCCAACCCAGCTTATGCGGGTTCTCGTTTTGAATAGAGCACTGTGATCTCCAACCTACACCTCCCTCCTCCTGCAGCCTACTTCCTGGCCTGCCTCCTACATCATCTCCCTGGAGGCTGCAAATGGCGCAACCGTCGCCTCTTTCGTGGGCTCCTGGATGGTCCAGCGGAGTGCGGGCATACCCAGATCAGAATGAAACCTCGCCGCCCCTGTGGCTGCGACCTGCAAAACTGCCGCCACGGTCGCGGGCTCCTGGGGGGGGTGCAGCGCAGTACGGCACCACCCAGATTTGAATGAGACCTCGCAGTCCCTGGGGGCTGCGAACTGCGCAATTGTCGCCACGTTCGTGAGCCCCTTGTGGTGTCCACCGCAGTGCTGCCCTACCCGAACCAGAATGAGACATCGCCGCCCCTCGGGAATGCCAATCCCACCAGCCTTCTGGACGGGAATGGATTAGCAAGTTTCTTCGTCCAGCACTCTTCTTCCCACGCAGGAAAGGATTTATTACTGCTCCATATTGCAAACACTCCCTCCCCCAGGCGACTGGCAACCGACCAGGACCAGTAAGGGCACCCCCCGCCATCCCTGTCAAAAAACAATGTAGAGTCCACTTTGGGGCAAAGTCTTGGGTCATGATGGGAGGGGGCGCGAGCACTTTGTGCTGCTTCTGTTGACATGGACGGCGGGGGTGCCCGCACACTGCCTGCTGCGCGCAGGGCCAGCACCCCGGATTGAAAACAATACAACAAAATGAATTTCGAGACAGAGTCTGGACCGTGCGCGGGCATCCCGCGATCCCTGCGCATTGGCTTGGACTGGGACGGCTGGGGTGCTGGCACCCTGCCTGCTTGGGCAGGCCCACCAGACGCTATGATGGCCACCCTGCCGCGATTGCACTATGACTGCCCATCCAAACACTACTGCTGAACACGCTGCGGCTCGAGTGTTACTTATGTGCTGGGAGGGCGGGTGGGAGTGAGCGAGACGGCTTGCGGGCGGGGAGGGTGTCTACACTCCTCCCCCACGCCCCCTACCCCTGGGTCTGGACGGGGCCTTCGCGAGGGGTTGGAGCATCCAAGATGGCCTCGGCGAGGACGCCAAAATCACTGATATTGCTAATGTTGTGGCCACAGTTTAGCCTCGGGGGGGGCGCTAGTCGAGCACGGCCCGTAGTTGGGCGATCTCCTCCAAGATTGCCCTAAAATGGAGGCTCCAAGGGTGGCGCGGTCGGCGTCGCTGGGGGCCAGGTTTCGACCCGGGGGCGGCGGGGAACTGGACAATCGCCGCTCTCGGAGGCCAGGCAGAACGTCTACCCGCCACCAAGCAGACGCGCTGGGGGCGCGTTCCGGCCGCGCTGCCGTCGCTCCTCGGCGCCCGAGCTCGCGCCATGGCCAAGTAGGGAGGGGCCAGGGCGAGGAGTGGCAGCCAGGGGGGCGCGGCGGCGGGCGGTTGCCTGTTCCTGTTCCTGCCCCCGCCCCAACTCCTGCGCCGGCGCCCCTCCCCGTGGGCGGCAGGCAACTCCTGCTCATCGGGCTCCTTCGGCGCCTGCTCCGAATGCTGCTCTGGTTCTCTACTCGGTCGCGCTCGCCCCTGGCCCGGTTGCCCGCGCTGCCACGCGTTCTGGTCGCAGGCCCCCGGCGAGGCAGCCCCGCTGTCCTCGACGAGGCGCTCGAGCTCTGTTTGCGACAGTTCCGATTGGTTGGGCCCGCCGCAAGAGCCGCACCCGGCGTCGGGCGGCGCGGCGGCAGCTGGGGCAGGGGCGCCTGGCGGGGCCACGCGGGATCGCGCGGGCCGCGCAGCTGGGCGCCAGGCACGGGCCGGATCGCCTCGGGTAGCTCGGGCAGAGAGGAACGCTGCACTGCGGTGCGCGGGGACAGGCCCCTTTCGCCAGCGTTCGCCTGCGGACCGGCGCCCGCCCTCGCCCGCGGGCGCGCCCCCATCTGCCGCCGCGAGACTGTCACCAGATGTGGGGGCACTGCCCGTTGCACCAGGTGCACGCGCGTTCTCCGACACCGCTTCTGTCGCCAAGACGTAAGTCGCCTTCCCTGGCACGGCCCAGGCATCTGGCGGGGGGGGCGGAGGTTCGCCATCCACTCGGGTGGATTCAATTACAAGTGAAGGAGGGCGAATGGGCGCGAAGGGGCTTCTCTCGACGAGCTGGCGGATGGCTTCGACGCCCAACCTCTGCAGGGCTGGTCCGCGGCCCCCCAGCAGGGGATCTTCGAACGCGCCGGGGGCGGCAGCGGGCGGAGTCACAGCGGGGCGTCGCGGCGCCTCGCCCTCAACTAGGTGCAACGGCAGCCCCAGGCTCTCCAGGTAGGCCCCCCAGGCAATGGGCCCCACACTGGCCGCCAGCCACGGGGGCGGGGGCCTCGGAGGCGTCGGCCGGAGCGTCTGCGCCGATCGCAAAGACGCGCCCGTCCGTAGCCCGCGCGCACATCCAGGAGTCAGGCGCGCCACCCAGACGGGAGCGCCCTCATCCTTGCGGGCGGCGTCTCCGAGCGCGGGTTCGCCCTCTGCGGCGCCCCCGCGCGTCGCTGCGGCACTGTCTCCAGGAGGGGGCGCGCTTTCGGGCGCATGCTCGGCCTCCACTGAGACGCTGCCCCAGAGACGCAGATAGGAGCGAGGAGAAGCACGGGCGCCCGCCCGTCGGTCTTCAGGAGGGGAAGGGCCGACACGCCGCGGCCGACGACTTCGCGCTCGGCCCGCGGCTCTCCCAAGGGGCGGTCGCGGCTAACGCCCGCACTTTCAGAGACGAACTCCTGGCTCTCTATTGTCATAGAACGTCTCCGAGCGCGGGCGCGCCCTCTGCAGCGCCCCCAACCGTCGCCGCGATATTGTTTCCAGGAGGGAGCGCGCTGTCGAGCGCATCTTCGGCCCCCACTGCGACGCTGCCCCAGGGGCGCCGATGGAAGCGGGGAGCAGGATGGGCGCCCGCCCGCCGGTCTCCAGGAGGGGGAGGGGCCGACGCACTGTGGCTGACAACTACGCGTTCGGTCTGCGGCTTCCCCGCGGGGACCGTCGCGGCGAATGGTCGCACTTCCAGAGACGAACTCCTGATTCTCTACTTTGTGAGGAACGTCTCCGAGCGCGGGCGCACCCTCTGCAGCGCCCCCACGCGTCGCCGCGATTCTGTCTCCAAGAGGGGCCGCGCTTTCGACCGCACTTGCGGCCTCCACTGCGACGCTGCCCCAGGGGCGCCGACAGGGGCGAGGGGCAGCACGGGCGCCCGCCTGCCGGTCTCCAGGACGGGGAGGGGCCGACGCGCTGTGGCTGACGACTACGCGTTCGGTCCGTGGCCCCCCCAGGGGACTGCCGCGGCTAACGGCTGCACTTCCAGAGACGAGTTCCTGACTCCCCATTCTGCGAGGAGCGTCTCCGAGCGCGGGCGCGCCCTCTGCAGCGCCCCCACGCGTCGCCACGATACTGTCTCCAGGAGAGGGCGCGCTTTCGAGCGCACTTCCGGCCTCCACTGCGATGCTGCCTAAGTGCGAGGAGCAGCACGGGCGCCCGCCTGCCGGTCTCCAGGAGGAGGGGGGCCGATACGCTGTGGCTGACGACTACGCGTTCGGTCTGTGCCCCCCCCAGGGGACTGTTGCAGCTGACGGCCGCGACGAACTCCTGACTCTCTACGTTGTGGGGAATGCCTCCGAGCGCGGGCGCGCCCTCTGCAGCGCCCCCAACCGTCGCCACGCCCCACCGCGACGCTGCCCCAGGGGCGCCGATAGGAGCGAGGAGCAGCACGGGCGCCCGCCCGCCGGTCTCCAGGAGGGGGGGGGGGCCGACACGTTGACGACTACGCGTTCGGTTCGTAGCTCTACCAGGGGACTGCTGCAGCCAATACGGCCGCAGTTCCCGAGGTGAACTCCTGACTCTCTATTTTGCGAGGAACGTCTCCGAGCGCGGACGCGCCCTCAGCGGCGCCCCCAATTCTCGCCGCGGCAATGGCCCCAGGGAGGGGGGGCGCGTTGTCGGTCGCATCCTCAGCCTCCACACCGACAGTGACCAGGGGGCGCAGATAGGAGTGAGGAGCAGCACGGGCGCCCGCCCGCCGGTCTCCAGGAGGGGGGGGGCCGGCACGCCGCGGCTGACAGCTATGCTTTCGGCCTGTGGCTCTCCCAGAGCACTGTTGCGGCGAACGGCCGCACCACCAGAGACGAACTCCTGATTCTCTATTTTGTGGGGAACGTCTCCGAGCGCGGGCGCGCCCTCTGCAGCGCCCCCAACTGTCGCCACGATACTATCTCCAGGAGGGCGCGCGGTGTCGCGCGCATCTTCGGCCTCTACCGCGATGCTGCCCCAGGGGCGACGATAGGAACGAGGAGCAGCAATGGCGTCCGCCTGCCGGTCTCCAGGAAGGGGAGGGGCCGACACACTGCGGCTGACAACTACGCGTTCGGTCTGTAGCTCCCCCGGGGACCGCTGCAGCTAACGGCTGCACTTCCAGAGGTGAACTCCTGACTCTCTATTTTGCGAGGAACGTCTCCGAACGCGGGCGCACCCTCAGCAGCGACCCCCATTGTCGCCACGGCAACGTTCCCAGGAGGGGGCGCGCTTTCGGTCGCATCTTCAGCCCCCACACCGACGCTGCCCCGCGGACGCTGAGAGGAGGGAGGAGCAGCAGGGAAGACTGTCCGCCCATCGCGAAGAGAGGGAGGGACCGGCACGCTGTTGCAGACGACCACCCGTTGAGCATGTGGCTCTCCCAAGGGACCGTCGCAGCTAACGGCCGCACTTTCCGACACAATCTCCTGAGTCTCTATTTTGCGAGGAAAGTCTCCGAGCGCGGGCGCGCCCTCTGCAGCGCCCCCCACCGTCGCCAGGATACTGTCTCCAGGAGGGGGCGCGCTTTCGAGCGCATTTTCGGCCTCCACTGCGATGCTGCCCCAAAGACGCCGATGGAAGCGGGGAGCAGGATGGGCGCCCGCCTGCCAGTCTCCAGGAGGGGGGGGCGGACACGCTGCAGCCACCGACCGCGCGTTCGGCCTGTGGCTCTCCCAGACGACCGTTGCAGCTAACGGCTGCACTTCCCGAGGTGAACTCCTGAGTCTCCATTTTGTGAGGACCGTCTCCATTTCCTGAGGCGGCAGCCGCCACTGCGGCGGCAAAAAAGAAGAAAAAAATAAAACAAATAGAAAAAAAATATTCAAAAAGAGAAAAATGAAAAAAACAAAAACAAAAAAAATGGAAGAAGCACAAGCAAAAACCTAACAGTTAAAATTACAAAAAAAAAAAACAAAAGAAAGATGAGAAAGAATAGAAATACTAAAAAAAAAGCGGCTCCCGCAGCGGCGGCAGCGGCGGCGCCGCGGCCATTGCTTCGGCAGCGGCGTGCCCCCATCGCGCGCAGCAAGAGCCCGGCCCAGCTGCAGCTCGGGCCGAGTTGCGGCGGCGGCGGCGGCGGCCGCTCCGGCGTGCGGCCGGCGGCGCCAACCGCGCCGTCGGCGCAAGCGGCAGTGGGCAGCGGCGGCGCCGACGAAGCCGCGGCAAGCGCCGCGGGGGAGAGTCGGCGCGGCCCACCGCGCCGCGGCGCGCCAGCCCGCCCGGCGGGGGCAGCCGAGGCGGGGCGGCAGGCCGGCCGCGGAGGGGCAGCAGCCGCGGCCACCACGCCCGCCGGCGCTGGCAGCCGAGCTGCAGCCGCCGCGGCCGCGGCGTCGGCCGCCGCGCGAACAGACCGCAGCGCGGCCGCAGCGACAGCGTCCGCGGCAGCGGCCGCGCAGCGGCCGCCCCAGGGGCGGCCGCGCGGTGCCACGGCGGCCCGGCAGCGCCGACGAGCAGCGGCCGGATCTCGGCATTCGCGTCCAGAGGCGGCCGAAAGCGGTAGGCGTGCCCACGGCGCGGCCGCGGCGGCCGTCCGGCGGCCCGCGGCAGGAACAGCCGCGTGCCGCTGAGCCATGGGCCGCGGGCCTGTGCGCGCGCGGCGCCGGCGGCCAGGTCGGCGGCCTGGGGCTGCGGCAGGCCGGGCGGCAGCACCGCGGCGCCGGTCAGAGCCACGCCAGGGGCGCGAGCGGCGGCCGCGCGACGAAGCCGCCGACGCCGCGCCGTGGGGGCTTCGGCGCCGCCGCCACGCCAGCCGCACGAGCGGCGGCAGCCCGGCGCCGCCGCCGCCGCAGCGGACACCATCGCCCGGGGGCAGCGGCCAAGCCGCCGCCGGAGGCCCGCGGGTGCGCCCGCCAGGCCGCGGGACCCAAGCCGCGCAAGCCACCTCGAGCCGAGACGGCTTGAGCCAGTGGGGGCTTGAGCCAGAGGCCACGGTCTTGCAAGGATATTTTTTTTGGTCGCGGCCGCGAACGAAAGCGCAGGCGGCGAGCAGGGTGTCCGGGCCAACGGGCAAACCTAATTAGCTACAAGGCGCAGCGCGAGTCGGCCGGGCCAGCCCTCAGAGGCAGCAACTGCGGCAGCGGCGGCGGAGGGCGGACAGGCTGAACAACGCCCAGGGAAGCTCGAGAATCATGCAGACCTGTGGCAAAGTGCCGGTTTTGCAAGGAGACGCGACGCGTCAAAGATTTGAACTGCAAGGCGCGCCGGAGTGATAATATTGTTCCATCCCGCCTCTGGCGGAAACTCCAGGGACGTTGTCGTGGGCACGATCAGGAGCTGTCGAGTTGAGTTCGATTGAGGAGCTGTGGGGCCATACTAAGCCTCGTGTTAGACCATGTATAGTGCTGGATTTAGCCAAATGCAGCCTGATCAAGCTCTTCTCAGAAGGCCACAACAAAGGTGAAAGCACAGGGAGGAAAAACACACACACACATCTGCAAGGAACTTATTGAACATCCCAGGAGACTTGCAAGCGAGGCTAGAGGGAGGAGAGAGCGAAGGACATCGATCTACTAACGGAGCGTGTCCCAGCGCGGGACGGAATGAAGAGCGCCGCCGTGCCTCGGTTCAACATTGCTCCCCTCGTAGCGTCCGAAAGCATCGATCACCGAATATCGAACGTCAGGCAGAAGGAGCTGCAGCAGGAGGCCACGAGCAGAGCAACGAACATATCCATATCGAGTCCCTCGCAGTATGGAGACCGAGGCGCGACTCCATGGATTCGCGATCCCGCGGATACGTTCCGCGTGGGGCATCCGAGCACAGTGGACTAGGAGTCCGGACCGCAAGGCCGAAGATATGGACACACTTCTGGCCCGCGATGAGGACCAGGAGGAGGGCCAAGAGTAGTTGTAAGGCGGCGACGACGACGACGACGACGACGACGACGAAGCCGATGAGGCCCGTGCCAGGCATGCACCCCGGCATCGCACCGTACGCGCCCATGGGCGACATAGCCTGGCAGGCGGCCTGCTGGGGAGGATGCGGCAGCCTCATCTTCGTAGTCGTCGTAGTCGTTATGACGATCGTCGAAAAAGAGGGGCGATGGGATGGGGGAGGGGGCGAGGGCGGGGCGAGGGCAAGGAGGAGATCCTCCTCCTCCCTCCTCCTCCTCCTCCTCCTCCTCCTCCTCCAGAGCCTCCCTTCTCCTCATGTTGTTCCTCATCCTAGTCCTCGTCCTCGTTTCCTTCAATGCCCTCCTCCTCCCCTATCACCCAGTTCTTCCTCCTCCTCCTCCTTCTCCTCCTTCTCCCCATGATCCTCTTCCTCCTCATCCTCCTCCTTCTCCTCCACATCCTCCTCATCACCATCACCATCATCACAATAACCAGCATCATCATCATCATCATCATCATCATCA